ATTTTGATTTATAAGAACGTTAATTCACTAAAACGAAGCTTTTTTAGTCTTTTTCCACATTTTTTTTGGTTTATAAAAATGTTCTCCAGGCATTGATCTATAAGAATGTTTTTTCCATATATTTTTATAAGAATGTTAATTAACTAGAATTAATTGATTTATAAAAAATGATTTATAAGAATGTTAATTAATTAACTAGAATTGATTGATTTATAAGAACATTGATTGATTTATAAGAATGTTAATTAACTAGAACGTATTCTAGCCATATATATAAGACTTTCTGCAACTATTATCGATGTTGAAAGACATCTACACTAAAATAACCAATATTAAATATGTTTTTCATATCTAAAATAACCAATATTAAATATATTTTTTTAATGTTCTCATCACTTATAAATAAATATTCTCATGTAATTCTCTCTTATAAATAAGTTTTTAATTATGTATAATTAATGCAAATGATAATATTTCAAAAATCATAGTTAAATTAATATATTAGAATTAAAATAAAATACACGTCCATTGTTTTTGTTCAAACCAAAGTAAAAACTATTCCAAGTTACAAGTATTTGGTGAATATTATTAGAAGTAGTCCTACTTGTAAGTAAGAGGATTTGATTCAAACCCTTCTTATTATTTTGAAATGGTTTGTTGAAGTAAAACAACAAACACTTTTATTATTAAGCATGAAGATAGGAAAGGAAAACAAACATGGACACATATTTTACATCGGGAAAGGAAACCAAACATGGACACACATTACATATCAGGAAAGGAAATAGCATGCAAACCCAAGATTACATGGAAGAGAAGAAAAGAAAGTGTGGCAATGGAAGCCTTATTGATAGCATATGATATGATGAGGACAGGTGATGATTAAGAGACAGGCACAATGCCTCTAAGGCAGGGCCAGCCATCAAGGATAGGCCTGACACCACCAACAATAGTGTCATCAGTTGCACCTGGGGTGAATTTTATGCGCACATACTCCTCTCCTTTGAAAAGGTAAGCTTCACCCTCCACATGAGAAGCAAAACTCGCATCAAATCCACTTTCAAAGATGGTACCTTTCAACACAGGAAACCCATCCACGATGTTGCGAATGTTGCCAACAAGCTGCTTCGTATCATACGCTATGCGAACATACTTATTGCCCTTGAATAAGTACACTTCTTTGCCTCTGGTTGACCTGAAGGCAGAGTCTATGCCATTCTCGAACACGGTGTTTTTGAGGACGGGAAACATTTCGGCAATGGTGGCAGGACCTGAGAGTATCTTGTCATTTGTTGTTCCTGGAGCGTAGTCTATGTAGGCACAGTGGTTGCTGGAGAAGACATACGCTTCGCTGGCTTCAGTGTCGAAGGCACAGTCCATTCCAGGATCTGCAAACGGCGTTCCAGCAAGCGATGGAAAACCGCTGCTAATGAGACGCAGATTGGTTAAAACCTTGTCATCTGTTGCTCCGGGGGTGTACTGCACCCGCACATACTTGTTTTTCATGAAGAAATAGACTTGGAAATCTTTTGATGAACGAAATGCAGCATTAATATAAGGGGTTGACATTTTGAGAGGGTTTGAGAAGGTTTGAGGGGGATTTGATTCGATTTGAGGTTGCTTACATTCTTCTTGCAGACACCGCCTATTTATATTGTTGGATTGAATGGATACTTAGCCTCATGTTTTTGTCTCTACACTTTTCTAGTACTGGAAACTACCGTGTTACAGTTCTACCTTGTTATTCTGACACCTACCACCATGCACTGTAACAGATACACCCCATGACAAACAAGCCTGCCATAAACGCTAAAAACCTTCCACGGTGCTCCATGTCCTATCTGTTACCCTTATCTTCTTTTATTCTAATATCCAAAGCAATCTTTAAGTTTGTTTTTTTTTTTTTAGAAAAAAATCAACAAGCAATGACTAATTTTTTTATATAAATCATTAATATATATATATATACACGTCGGTACTTATTTTTAATATTATATTTTAATTAATATAATATATATTGAATTATATGCATATCAATATTAAGTATTAAATTATTGAAATAAATAATCTAATATTATGTACTTAAGTAACCTCTATGATTTCCTTCTAATCTTATCACTAAATATAAATAATGTCATTAATTATATTATAAGTTTTAAAAAGTTAAATATCAATTATATTAATCTTTTAAATGAAATAGTATAAAAATCATTGTAGAATTGAAAATTTATCCTTTTAGTTGTTGTATTCTCACTGTGGCACTTGGTATAAGGTTAAAAGAGAGGTAACACATAACCTAATATTGGAACACGTAAACAAATGTTATCTGAATATTGCATGTGCCTTTGTCACCACGTTAATTCAATAATATATTCGGTTACTATTTTGATATTGTATTTTAATTAGTAATATATATTGAATTATATGCATATCAATATTATACAAAAAAATTATTAAAAGAAATTATTGGGACCAGCGTGTCTATCATCACACGCGTATGTTCGAATACACGATCAGAAAATAGTATATTTCATGTCGGCAATATTTAGATCTGTGTAAGAAAAATATTTATTATTGTCAGTTTTTATAAGAAAAATTAAATATTTAAAACCAATCAAAGAATAAAATTATATTTTTAATCAGATATTATAATTTATTAAAAAATAAATAAATAATGATATTATTTTTTACAAAATATTAATCTGTTTTAGAGAAAAATAGAGTTTTTGTCACTTTTTAAAACTGTACCTAATTTGATTATTTTAGACAATATTTGTTATTTGTGCTAAAACTTGGATGTTGAGAAACTAACGGTGCTCAATAACTACATATCTTAATTTAATAATAATAATCTCAATTAACCATAAAAATACAAGGACAACGAATTTATCTAATGACAAAGAGCTCACACTTGTACGCACGCAAGTGAGATAACATTTGTCCACGTGTGTTCCAATTTAGTAGTTTTTAAGGTTACGGGTTACTCCTTCGTTTAACCTTAACCGTGCAAAATCTCCAAACAAATAAGAAAAAAAAAAAGTTATATAAAAACAAAAGAGTCATTCATCAATATATAAAAATTATTAACTTATTCTTAATTTTCTTATTCCTTCTTACATTATTATATTAAAAAATAAAATAAAAAAGTATTCTTATTTTAATCAATAAAAGTTAAAATTCACTTTTCATCATGATTATTTATTTTATATTATTAAATTATAAAAATACTCATAAAAATAAAAACTAAATTTCTAAATAAATATATATTCTTATAAAAAAATAATATCATTTTTATTTAATTTTAAAAAATATAATATGTGATTAAAATTATTAATTTGTTTAGTTGTTAGTTTTATTTTTTATTTTTATAAAAACGGATAATATTAAATATATACACGGACATGAACTATATTATTAATTCGTGTTGATATTTTGATGTTAGAAGGATAAAAATATTTATTTAACAACATTTTATATTATTATTTATCTATTTTATTTATTTATTTTATTAAATTAAAAAATATTATTTTAAAATTATTAATAATATTTTTTAAAATTGAATTTTTTAAATATTTTTCCTACCTAATATGTATAAAAAAAATAATATTTTAAAATTTTCATAAAAAATGAATTTTCTAAATATCTTTTTCTTAGCTAATATGTACCAGTACACGCGTGAATTTCTAAATATACGATTTTCTGACCGTGTATTCGAATATACGCGTGATGATAGACACGCTGGTCCCAAACACACCGTGACACGTATTTTGATATGCATATAATTCAATATATAATACTAATTAAAATATAATATCAAAATAGGAACCGGAATATATTATTAAATTAACGTGGTGACAAAGGCACATGCAATATTCAGATAACATTTGTTTACGTGTTCCAATATTAGGTTATGCGTTACCTCTCTTTTAACCTTATACCAAGTGCCACAGTTTGAATACAACAACTAAAAGGATAAATTTTCAATTCTACAATGATTTTTATACTATTTCATTTAAAAGATTAATATAATTTATATTTAACATTTTAAAACTTATAATATAATTAATGACATTATTTATATTTAGTGATAAGATTAGAAGGAAATCATAGAGGTTACTTAAGTACATATATAATATCACCTCTAACTTATTCTACTGTGAGAATTATTGAAAGTTTGAATAAACCATGATTATGGAAAAGAATAAAGTACAATATGCATATTATATAAAAAATATAATATTTCATAATTTGATTATGTTAAAAAGAAAATTATTGAAGGATGTATCTAAGATACATTTAATCTTCGTAGTTTATCTTTGAGTTGTTAGATTGGATACAGGAATTAGATTTTACTTTATTTTGTAGCAGCATCGCGTTAGTCATATCTTCTTTAGTGACTCTTGTAAACTTAATTAAGAAACGAGATCAGGGACGAGCCAGAAAACGAGTACACGCGTGATAACAAACACTCTGGTCCCACACTCAACACGTGAAACATATATACTATTGGATTGCAGAAACATATATTAGATTATTTATTTCAATAATTTTATATTTAATATTCATATGCATATAATTCAATATATATTATTAATTAAAATATAATATTAAAAATAAGCACCGACCTATATATATATATTAATGATTTATATAAAAAAACTAGTTATTGCTTGTTGATTTTTTTCTTAAAAAAAAAAAAAAAAAACAAACTTAAAGATTGCTTTGGATATTAGAATAAAAGAAGATAAGGGTACAGAGAGGACATGGAGCACCGTTGAAGGTTTTTAGCTTTTATCTGTTACAGTACATGATGGTAGGTGTCAGAATAACAAGGTAGAACTGTAACACGGTAGTTTCCAGTACTAGAAAAGTGTAGAGACAAAAAGATGAGGCTAAGGATCCATTCAATCCAACAATATAAATAGGTGGTGTCTGCAAGAAGAATGTAAGCAACCTCAAATCGAATCAAATCCCCTCAAACCTTCTCAAACCCTCTCAAAATGTCAACCCCTTATATTAATGCTGCATTTCGTTCATCAAAAGATTTCCAAGTCTATTTCTTCATGAAAAACAAGTATGTGCGGGTGCAGTACACTCCCGGAGCAACAGATGACAAGATTTTAACCAAACTGCGTCTCATTAGCAGCGGTTTTCCATCGCTTGCTGGAACGCCGTTTGCAGATCCTGGAATGGACTGTGCCTTCGACACTGAAGCCAGCGAAGCGTATGTCTTCTCCAGCAACCACTGTGCCTACATAGACTACGCTCCAGGAACAACAAATGACAAGATACTCTCAGGTCCTGCCACCATTGCCGAAATGTTTCCCGTCCTCAAAAACACCGTGTTCGAGAATGGCATAGACTCTGCCTTTAGGTCAACCAGAGGCAAAGAAGTGTACTTATTCAAGGGCAATAAGTATGTTCGCATAGCGTATGATACGAAGCAGCTTGTTGGCAGCATTCGCAACATCGTGGATGGGTTTCCTGTGTTGAAAGGTACCATCTTTGAAAGTGGATTTGATGCAAGTTTTGCTTCTCATGTGGAGGGTGAAGCTTACCTTTTCAAAGGAGAGGAGTATGTGCGCATAAAATTCACCCCAGGTGCAACTGATGACACTATTGTTGGTGGTGTCAGGCCTATCCTTGATGGCTGGCCCTGCCTTAGAGGCATTGTGCCTGTCTCTTAATCATCACCTGTCCTCATCATATCATATGCTACCAATAAGGCTTCCATTGCCACACTCTCTTTTCTTCTCTTCCATGTAATCTTGGGTTTGCATGCTTGTTTCCTTTCCTGATATGTAATGTGTGTCCATGTTTGGTTTCCTTTCCCGATGTAATATATGTGTCCATGTTTGTTTTCCTTTCCTATCTTCATGCTTAATAATAAAAGTGTTTGTTGTTTTACTTCAACAAACCATTTCAAGATAATAAGAAGGGTTTGAATCAAATCCTCTTACTTACAAGTAGGACTACTTCTAATAATATTCACCAAATACTTGTAACTCGTTGGAATAGTTTTTACTTTGCTTTGAACAAAAACGATTAGAATAGGTTATTTTGTTATTATTTATTAATAAATAGGATTTTTTATTTAGGGTTTCTGAAATTCTATTTAAGACAGTTTTTCCTTTTCTCAAAAACATAAAAAATATCATGGAAAATGTACAGTTTTCATCTTCCAATATTTCTGCCATGATACACGAAATCTGTTTTTTCATGACACGCTCTTTATGTAATATTATCTCACTACAGTAAATGAATATTTTATGTTTCTAATTTGTTTGAAACTAGATTATTTGATTTATGGTGATTTTTTTTCCTGTATCAAACATTTGATAAAATCCAACCTCCTTAAAAAGACGAAGAGAATAAGATAGATATTAGAAATTTGTTATATATAGTAGTATATTTATATTATTCATGGTCATGAATTCAGATTTTTATTGCAAAAACATTACATATAAAAATGTTAATTTTAATTTATATACATTTTATGTTTATCACTCAATTACAAATGAAAAATAATAAACTACTTGATTACGTTGGCTTCATAGTAGAGTTGCTATATTTGTGATGAGAATCTAAATTTGTAACATGTTTAAATTACTGGAATTGTGGGGTCAACAATACAAATATCTCACCAACAATTATTTTTATTAGTTAAATGATAATATTTAGTATTATATGACGCGTCGTGATTTCCGACGGAAAAATGCCGTTCACAATTTGTGACAAAAAATATCTTTCGAATTTGTAATAGACAAAACTCTACATAATTTCTAATCCTTCATTGTGATGGCTATTTCTAACACTAAGGAAAACAAATTTTTATACATTAATTTTTGTGACAGAATTTTTGGAAGTTGCGACTATAGTATTTTTATGCTTATTCATGATGGATAAAAAAAAAACAAAATCTGTGACAAAATCGATCGCAGACACATTTAGTTCATTTCGTGATGTCTGCCGCTAAAACCCAAATCAGTAACATCTATGAACATATCTCTAAAACATCTGAAAGGAATAAAATTGAAATCCTTTGTTAAAGTAAAAGACACTTTTATTACTAAACCATATGTATTACATGAAGCAAGGAAACTAACATTCAAGTTTGGCTCTGGAGGCCTTATTCTTATAACATATTCTGACATCATAAGAGAAAGAAAACAAACATCCACACATTATTACATTAAGAAAGAGAAGGAAGCCTTATTCGTAAAACATTATGACATCATTTTATTCAAAGCTCATCATGCTGATCAGGGTAAGATTGTTCATGATCAGAGTGAAGATGAGCATCAAAGCCTTTATTGTCGCGAGGCAAAATGCCTTTAAGAACTGGCCAGCCATCAAGGATAGGCCTCACATTACCCATAAGAACGTCATCGTATGTACCTGGGACGAATTTCATACGCACGTACTTGTCTCCTTTGAAAAGGTAAGCTTCACTCGCCACATGAGAAGCAAAACACGCATCAATTCCACCTTCAAAGATGGTACCTTTCAACACAGGAAACCCATCAGCGATGTTGCGAATGCTACCAACAAGCTGCTTCGTATCATACGCTATGCGAACATACTTATTGCCCTTGAATATGTACACTTCTTTGCCTCTGGTTGACCTGAACGCAGAGTCTATACCATTCTCAAACACTGTGTTTTTCAAGGCAGGAAACATGGCAGCAATTGTCATAGGACCTGAGAGTATCTTGTCATCTAGTGTTCCTGGAGCATAGTCTATGTAGGCACAAAGCTTGGTAGAGAAGATATATGCTTTGCTGGCTTCAGTGTCGAAGGCACAGTCGATTCCATTCTCTCCAAACGGCGTATCAAGAAGTGATGGAAAACCATCACAAATCATACGCAGATTAGTCAGAATCTTGTCATTTGTTGCTCCGGGAGTGTAATACACCCGCACATACTTGTTTTTCATGAAGAAATAAACTTCATTGGTTCTTGATGAACGAAATGCAGAATCAATATAACTTGGTACCTCTAAAACTTTCCTAGTGTACCAGACAAGAGCATCATCGTTATTAGCATCCAAGACCTGTCTTTTCTCTCTCGTAGGCGGATAAGTTTCTTCGGGCAGGTATCTGTTTGTACCGTTCTCATCTCTGTAGTAGTACACTGGGATAAAAATTACAACTTGATTGTATGGAGCTGACTCTGGATTAAAGTTCCTATTTATTATCAATCTTGTTTCTCTTTGCAGTCTCGGATACCTGCGCAATATGATAGCTTGTAATTAATGATTGAAAACATGAATGGATTATAAAAATAGCATGGCTTGAGAGGTAATCTAACCTTGATCCAGCCTCACGTGTTGCTGTGTAAATGAGACAAGATCGAATGTATTGAGGTGCAATGCCTCCAACAAAGCAAACTTCAGCTTGAGAGACGTATTGGTACCGATCTCTGAGGCTGACAGCAACCCAAATACCACCAGGAGCATAAACTTCATAACGATAAAATTGAATCTGAGACCCTGGTGGGAGGACTTGGGTGGAGGGGGTTGGTTGCCAAGCATTGTTGAGAGTGGTACTCACAAAGGCATGTGTTGTAGTTGGAGGCCTATTTGAATCAAGAGGGGCACCTGCATGTTGGATAAAATGAAGCAAATTATAGTAAGTGTTGTTGGGGGTTTGTCCCTGAGGCCATGCTTGGAAGCCATTTGCAAAGATCTGCTGGTAGGGCCTTGTGTCCCAACGAAACACAGGACGACGGATATCAAAGTTTAGGTCGCCTGTTCTGTACTCAATTCCTGTCAAGTTTCCTTCGACAACGTTCACACGGTTCACAATCTGGAACAAGTTTTGAGCTTGAAGCAAATCTTGCTGCCCTAGAGGCTGTGAGAATTCTGATGAACACCCTCTGGATGGATCATTTGGTGGAGGGATTGACATTATTTTCTTAACAAAAGGAGTAAGGGTGGATAGATAGATAGATAGGATTTGCTTCGATTTGAGGTTGCTTACATTCCTCTCTTAGGCACCTATTTATACTGTCATGCAATGAGATCCTTACCCTTATCTTTTCTTTTCTTAGTTTTGGCAACTTCGATGATTAGACATATTGCTCTACATAAAGCACGTTGCAAACGAGTTATTCTGATATGATATCCAAACAAACCTTTAACAGCCTTATCTATGTTTTTGTCTTTTTTTCATTATATTATTATTCTAATATTGAAAACGACCACAAAAGTAAATGAAAAACGTGATGATAATTTACATATATAATTACTGGCTTCATTGTATATGAAATTAATGATTGATTATGATTCATTGTATATAAAATATCACATGTGAAAATGAGTTGGAAATAAATTTATAATTCATTGTATATGAAATTATGTGTAATAAATAAGAAAAAACTAAGCAACATCAGAATAAGATTTTATAATTTTAAAAAATCCTTAAAGAAATTTAAATATATATATATATATATATATATATATATATATATATATATTCTTTTATTAGGTTGTGAATCATTTATTTTAGAGTTGAGTTTTCATCGTTTGTTCTTAAAATATATTTTAACAAGATTAAAAATAAAAAATACATATAAATTATTATTGATTTTTACTCATAAATTAAATAAAATTTATAAGTATACTAAAAAATATCATAAATTAATTTGATGATTTTTTTTATTTCAGCCGTATTTAATGGTAGTCGGATAAGGTTAGAGGAGGGAGTGATTAGTAGGGGTAACACGTACATACCTAATATTCGACCAAATAATAAATTATGTTTCACGTGTTGTTCATTTTTGGGACCAGCGTTCAATCCAAGATTTTTTAAGTTTTTAGAATTATTTCATTTTAGTTTCGATAAATATATTATTTTTATTTTAGTATTCGATCATGTTATATGCTCATGTTTTTACTAATGTCACTTATTAATTGATATTTTCATATCGATCAAAATTCAGTAATTAAACTTATGATGATTAATTTTTTTTTAAATATGAACAACCAAAACTTTAAAAACATAAATAATATAAGTTTACATACTGAATTTTATTTAGTCATAAATTATAATGTATGATAATTTTGTTATTTTTTATTACAAGTAAAAACACACACATTAATCATTGATAATAATGTACATAATAACACTAAATTCATGGACTAAATTGTATAATTAAATTATTAATGTTTTAATTTATAGTTTTTATTTTTATAATTTGAGTTTAAGTATATATATTTTTTATTTTGTTACATGAAAATAATATAATAAAAATAAATTATAAATAAAATATCACGTAATAAAATTTAATAAAAAAATTATAATTAAAATAATACTAGTTTTAATTAAAACTGATGTATAATGTTTAACAAAAATAAAAAAATGATATATAGATGTTATGTTTGTTAAATTAATTAAAAAAATTAAAGAAATATGTAGAAGTTAAAAGTAAACAAAAAAAGAATAATATAATGAATTATTTGTAATATGAAAGAAAATCAAATATTTTTAAAAAAATTTATTATTTTTTAATATAAATTTAAATATAAAATCAATACGAAAGGAAGGAAAATTATATTATTTTAGAAAAAAGTTAAACCTGCCCTCACAATTATCAACTCGTTTTTTCTTATTAATCTCAAGATAAAAATCCCATGATTTTAATTATTATCCTTAAAATATATATATTAAAAAAATAATAATTTAGATTTAAATATGCGATCGTACCCCAATTTTTTAAATAAAAAAATTCAAACGGATATCAGATCAACTTATTTTTTTTTTTTTATCAAACTCAATATAAAAATAAATAAATTCTCACGAATAAGACTATAATTGTCATCTAATTAAGAATTATAAAAGATTATATCCACCAATTTTTAAAACTCATATACTATGCTAACTCTAAAGCTAAGTAATCAGAACATTATCACCATAATTTATAATTTTATTCAATAGTTAAATTAAATTATTAAATAAAATGAATTTCAAATTTTAATAAAAATTTAAAAGTATTTATTTAGTTAATAAACTAAAAATAAGTATAATTTACTTAAAAAAGTAATTATATATAAGATCGTATAAACTCTATATTTTTTATTTGGATATCTAAATGTTATTAATTAAAATTTATATATAACAAGAGTTATTGAATTGATTGATTGATTCTATTATATTTTTAATTATGTATTTGTTTCTGGTTGAATTTCGATCGATTTCGATTCTAAACTGTGTTATGGTCCTAATCGAAATCCTCCCACGTAAGTTCTTTTTACTTAGGCTAGCAGTCTGACTTTCAATCGAAAACGTGTATGAGGATCGAAAATCACAAGATATCAAAAAAGTCGTTTTTGGTATTTTGTATTTAAAGTATCGAAAGCGATAAAGTATCGAATCGAGAAACGAACATTAAATTGCAAGAAAATATAAAGTGCGAAAACCCCAAATTTGCATTAATTGTAAATGACGAGGAATCGAAAATAGTGCAAATATAAATGGCAGGAAATCGAAATGTGCAAGGAATGTAAATGACAATAAATCGAGATTTGCGAGAATGTGAAATGACATTGAAGCTTAAATGCAGAAACTTAATCTTTCATTGAATTGAAATGACAAGGAATCGAAAATACAGAAACATAAAACTGCTGAATTTAAATTGCATCAAAGTAAATTACCAAGGAAAATACAGAAAGCGGTAAATGTACTCAGTGAGCAAGGAAATCCAGATTGTCGGAAGCTTCATGGTGTTCGTCGTTTCTCCGGTAGACTTTTCACTACCGATTCGTTCTCTCGCCAATTTCGCTCCCCCTTTTCTCCTTCCTTCTTTGCTCTATTTATAGGGCCTCCTTCAAGCTTTCCCAGAACAGTTAATAAGACTGCTACCACGTTCTTTCGTGCATGACGGTTTCTTTTTCTACAGTTTCCCACGTTCTCACGATCCTCGACTCCTTCCATGTTTCGAAACTGCTATCTATACGTGCGTTTGACTTATTCTTCTTTTCATGGTTTGGCAGAATCTCGATGTCCACATTGGTTTTCTTCACTCTCGATTTTGTTTTTTCGAGAACTTCAATTTGCTTATGATTCCTTTTTGACCTTGGTCTCATATGACTTAGTTTTTTATTCGATAACAGGCCTTTGGTTATCATTTACTCGATTCTCGATTGTACTTCTCGATGCTACGTGCTTCTAATAAGACATCGATTTTGTTTATCTTATCGAGTCACATTTCTTTCCTTCATTTTCGATCGCTTTTCTCGATTTGTCACTAGCAAAATGCCCCCTTGGAAGAATATGAATATTTTGTTTATATTCTTTCAATATTCCCGCCTTAGTGTTTGGAGGCCCACAGAACTTAGGGTTTAGGGTTTAGGGTTTCTGGGGTTCTAGGGTTAAAAGGGTTTTAGGTTTTCCTTTCCGTTTTACGTCGCCATCATGTCAGTCTGTTGCTTTTACAGTACGCTACATTTATTACCTTTCGCGTCTGTCGTTCCAGCTCCCTAGGCGATTTTCTCCTTAACCTCTCCCTTGGTTTTTACTTTGGTTTTTTACGCGAACCTTCACCCTTTGCAATTTCATCTTCTTCCTTGAGCTCGTCTTCATCCCTGCGCTTTCATCTTTTGCCTTACTCTTCTTCATCCTACCAGTTACTGAGATGGCCACCTCCTCCAAGTCTTCTGATTTTTCGGCTCCACCTCTTCCTTTGCTGACGGCTCCTCTTCTGGAGATTAATAACCAGAAGTTTGCTCCAATTCCTCTGATGGAGGAGGCTTCTCGGAAAATCGCCGAGACACAGGTACTTGTTCCTTACAATATTGAGGGTATTAATTTTGCTTTTGGGGGTCCTCTTCGTCCTATCGATGGAATTTTCTCTCCCCTCAACCTCTCGACTAGTCCGGTTCTTGTACATCGACTCGAAGTTAGGATTGATTTTTTGAATCTTACCTCTAAGGTGTATAGGACGAGGCCCTCCTTCCAAAAAACTTTCATATATTAGGTGGTTTGATAGAGTTAAGGTACAATTTGGAGATCATTGGAAGGTCGTGGGGATTTTCGATTTCTTACACCTGTCTCGATGTGATTTATCTCACCTGGATATGGCCATGTTTCTATCCGCTGTTCACTTGTGGAATAAGGAGTTACATGCCTTAGAATTACCCTGCGGTCCCCTCTCGCCTACTCTTTTTGAAATTGCGGCTATTACTGGATTGAAGCCTACAGGGGAAAAGTATTTTAAAGGTGCATGCCCCTCGGATGACTCTCTAAGGTTAAAGATCGATTGTGAATCGAAAGCATATGGACATTTCCTTGAGAGGCATTTCGTTGACGACGAATCGATGACTGTGACTGAGGAAGAACATATAGCCTTTTTGGTGTACTGGTTATGTACCCATGTTTTCTGTCCTCGATCTATCCAAATTTCCCCCCATCTATTTGACCTTGCCTATCTCTTACACATAGGTCAGCCTAGGATATGTTTGGCTAAGCTTTTGCTAGCTCATGTATATACCGCTTTCGACGAGGCTGTCGAAATTTTGAGCACCCCTAAAGCATCGGAAAACTTTTCTAGCCCCATTTGGTTTGTACAATTATGGTTAAACTCGATTTTCGAGAGCATCCTTTCCCCCTCTTCTACTGTCCCCCCAAGTGTAAATATAGAAGGCGCTCGATTGTCCTCTCGTCATCCTCACCATAAGCCTGATGAAGCGGCCTATTGTAGATATCTTAATTTTTTGTTGACGCGGTTCACCTTCGATTCGACTTTGGCTCCTTTTACCACACATCTCGGACAATTAAATGACCAACTTATGGGACCAATTTGGTTTAAGTCAAAGTTCCCTGCCTCGACTCCTGGGTTGCAATTAGAGTTAGTAGATATCTAGAGTAACTATTTAACTCATGATATGCTGGTATCGGGTTTTCAATCCAAA